CTCCTGCCTTAGTGATCTTAGCCCCTGAGTGGAAGATTCATGTGCCAAAGTGTGTATTTCCACTGAATCTTTCCTCCCAGAGTCTAATTTGAATATTGCATCCATATTCAGATATCTAGTAGACTTACCAGACTTCTCATGTCTAAAATTGAGCACCCAGCTTGTATGCTGCCCCCTCTCATCCTTATTACCTCCAGGATTTGTTTATTTTTGTTATAACTAGTAAAAACTCTGTTGCTCAGGCCAAAAAACTCAGTAGAAGTCATTAGTGTCTCAAATTCTCTTCACATATTACAGCTGATCCAGTGGAAAATCCTGCCAGTGCTACATTCAGAACAGGTCCACCTAGTGGTTGCCTCATGCCACCTGAAGCTTGGAATGTCTGTCCCCAGCTGGAATGCATGAGTCGGGGCAAAGACCTGTAATGTGAGCTTTTGCCCTGCCTTACTTATCAGGCCAATCTGGGCTCGCTCTCTGTTCTGTTTTTTCCTATGGCCACATTTGGCTAGCGGTTACTGGGCTGGCGCATAGGGAGAGGACATTCCACCATTGCAGCAAGTCCTGTTGCCATTGCCCTGCAGAAGAACTTGCTGTTTATCATGTTTGTTTATTCTTTCACTCATTTGTTAGAATGTAATTTTTCCAACAACTCACATCTTTCTCTTTTTATTTTCCTAAAATAGTGCTTGGCACAAAGTAGGTGATTGTTGTATTCATTTCAATGAGAGCAATTACCATTTCATTTAAAGTAATTAGAATATTTGGATTTATTCTTCAATCCACAAAATTAAAATCTTATTTGTATTTTGTGAATGCATCTATGTGCTAGGCTTGGCACCATAATAAGTTTTTCATATAGCTTATTTAATTTAAACGTGTGTGTGTGTGTGTGTGTGTGTGTGTGTGTGTGTGTGTGTGTGTGTGTGCATGTGTACGGACATGCATGAGTGCGTGCCAGTACTAGGACTTGAAATTAGGGTCTCACTTGGCTAATTTGCTCATAGCTGATGCTGTGCCCCTTAATCTACACCTTCAGTTCCAGTGTTTTGCTGGTTAATTGGAGATAAGAATCTTGTAGATTTGTCTGCTTGATGACTCAACCTTGATCCTCAGATCTCAGCTTCTTGAGTGGGATTATGGGCACCTAGCTTTCATCTAATTTTTGTAATAGCTGTGAGTCTGCATGTGCATGCGTACCTGTGTAAAGTCACCATTTTAAACATTAGCAAAAGAAGGTGAGAGGTCATCAAGAACTTACAACTGGTTCGTGGTAGGGCAGAACGTGAACCTGGGGCATCTGGTCTCCAGTGGCCAACATGTAGCCAGTGCCTAGACATTCTGAGCTTGGGGTCAGTTTTGGAGTTAGGGTGAAATCCACCCTTCTACTCAGCTACTCATAGGGGATTTAAAGTTAATGATACTATTTACCAAAAAAAGTGTTATGCTTAGTGCTGAGTTGTCTTGGCAACACAGACTGAGTTTAAGGATCAATTTTCACTTAAGATCTTAAATTTCAGTAAATGAAAAAATTACCCATCCAAAAATCGTGATGTGACATGCAGTCTTAAAGTTGAAGTTCGTCATCAAAGATGTCACTGCTGCCATTGGAGTCCTGCCTGTGTATCATTGGCATTCACCTGCTTTTTTCTGAGGGGATGGTGCATGTGCCACATAGAATCACTTCCTGAAAACTGTCCAGATTGAGCAGTATTAGTTAACTTTGTTTCTCCAGGTTCTTTGTTCCTGTTGTTAGGGGGGAACAGTGGCATTACTCACTGATCATAATTGTGATTACTGGTTAGTTATCTTTAGTCAACTGGAATAAAGGTGACACATGTCCTCAATGATCGTTTCTCCAGGTCCAGACCCCTTCCAAAGGCCTTGTCTTTCAATTGTATCAAAAATTCTGTGAGGGCCGGTGTTGGTAGCTCATGCCTGTAATCCTAGCTACTCAGGAGGCTGAGATCTGAGGATCATGGTTCAAAACCAGCCTGGACAGGAAAGTCCATGAGACTCTTATCTCCAATAAACTACTAGAAAACCAGAAGTGGCGCTGTGGCTCAAGTGGTAGAGTACTCGCCTTAAGCTGAAGAACATAGGGACAGCACCTAGGCCCAAAGTTCAAGCCCCACGACTGACATAAATAAATAAATATAGATAAAATTTTGTGAGGTAGATAACTATTCAGTCCTTTTTAAAGAAAATTCAGTGTAAGGCCTGGCTCCTAAGTGAGTGGCAGTCTGAATGTTTCTCCCCAACCCCAGTGCATGGGGAGAGATGGAGGAGCTCTGGAGCACTGGAAGTGATGCAGGTCTGAGACGGCGGGGCTAGAAGTACCAGAAGTAAAGGAGGCATTCTGAGATGGTGAGGTTAGAAGTACCGAAAGAAAAGGTGTTCTTAAAAGCACCGGAAGTGAAAGCTGAGATGGAGTTATAAGCACCAGAAGTAAAGGTGTTCCCAGACAGAAGTTAGAGGCATGGAAAGTGAAAGGCATTTGGAGACGGTAGCGGAAGTGAAGGAGACATTCTGAGACAGAGTTAAAAGCACCAGAAGTGAAGCAGCCACTCTGAGGCGGAGTGGCTTTCATGGCTGGTGACTGCATGCCTTCCTCATCCCGTAGACCTCAGTGCTGTTGCTCACACCGCACTGTCACCAGGCCAGGACACCTAGGTGTTGGGTCTTCATCTGTCAATCAGACACAGCGGGGAGCCAAATCCAGCAGGTAGAAAACTCGTTTATTAACAGAGAGCAGCCCCTTTTAAAGACAAAAAGGGTGGGTGGCATGGTAGGGGAGGAAGAGGAACCAATCACTGTCAAGGTCACACCCTATCATTCACCTGAGCCTTCAGGGGCTGGTTAGGCACCAATCGGCAGATCAATTGGGCTCTGCCCACTCTATTCTCTCCCAGTGCCATCTTGGCTGCCCATGTGCTCTACAGTAAATTAGGCTCTGCCCATTCAACCCCCTCTCAGCGCCATCTTTGCTGCCCATGTGCTCCACACCTAGGCGGTACCGGTGCTGCTGCATCCCCTCCCAACCTCCTAGGTGCCTTTATTTTGTTAGTTTGGGAAACAGCCTGGACATTTTGTTATTTATTGGCATACATGAGTTGTACAGAGGCTTTCATTGTACATTTTCACACATGTATACAATGTTTCCCAGTCCCCCTTCTTCAACAGGCTTCATTGTTCTGTTTTCATACATACAAATAGATGACTGTATTCATTATCCTTCACCCTCCTCCACCCAAACCTGTTTTCTTGTCATTATTTTAGAGTGTAATAATTTCATCAAAGAGTTTCACTGTTACATCAGAAGTTCGTAAATTATATTTTGCTCAGAATAACCCTCTCAATTGCTTTGTCTTCTATACTAGGACTTGTAAAAGTCCTTTAGGTAATTCTAAGAGAACCAGAGGTGTGAGCCACGAGTTCCTGGACTTACCTGCCTGCTGGCTTCCCTCCTGGGACCTGTACCCTTCCACAGGGTGACTCAGGTGTCAGAGCTGCAGCTTTCATTTGGGAGGTTTAAGTGATGGTGGATTTGGAGCCCTCTGGTTATGCAGTGGTTCTCATGGCAGTTGTATGCTGGAATCACCTGAACATCTTTTTTTTTTTTGGGGTCCGGTTGTGGGGTCTGAACTCTGGGCCTGAGCGCTGTCCCTCAGCTCTTCAGCTTAAGGCTAGCACTCTACCACTTGAGCCACAGCGCCACTTCTGGCTTTTTTTTTTTCTTTTGCTTATGTGGTGCTGAGGAATTGAACCCAGGGCCTCAGGCATGCAAGGCAAGCGCTCTACCACTGAGCCACCGTCCCAGCCCTGGTCACTTGAGCATCTTTCATGTTGCCCTGGCTGGCACAATTCTCTCTCTCTCTTTTAATTCTTTATTGTGATTAACTGATTACATAATTTCACAAATTTCACAGTATTATGGGATAGTGATGCTTAAAGTCACAAATGCATTCTAACTTTCATGGGGCAAGTTGTCTATTGTGGTCTATGAAGTTTATGAGTTCTATGAACTTTGACAATACAGTTATTTCTTCCATATTAAGTGATATGTACATTCCTTTCCTTTTGCATAGCATCAGCTGTTCCCTTTTTCCCACTTGTTCCCTCCCTCCCATCGCTGCCTTTGAGTTGTTTAGTTTGTTGTGATCAATGTCCAGTGCAGTTGATGGGTCCCACTGTTGTATGTTTTCCCCTGATTCCTGCTAGTTCTGTGTCCTCCTCCTGGTTTCCTCTGGTGTGCACATATACACCATATATGCCATCAACAGCATGGGGTTTGGCATGACTCTTTCTTTTGGGGGGGGGGTCCGGTCATGGGGCCTGAACTCGGCCTGGGCGCTGTCCCTCAGCTCTTCAGCTCAAGGCTAGCGCTCTACCACTTGAGCCACAGCGCCACTTCCGGCTTTTTTCTGTTTGCTTATGTGGTGCTGAGGAATCGAACCCAGGGCCTCATGCATGCAAAGCAAGCGCTCTACCACTGAGCCACCTTCCCAGCCCCTGGCATGACTCTTGAGGAAGGGTTCTTTGACGGTGTTCTTCCTGGTTGTAGGTGTACCGCTCCCAGATGATTCCAGGATGAAGGCAAAGGCAGAACTCCCACTCTCTTCTTTCTTCTTTGTCCTCCACTCTCATTCTCCTGAACCTGGAAATGAGCACATTAGTTTCCCAAGTCAAGAGACTTGAGAAATGTATGGGGCGATTTGTCAATAAGGGGCTTTTCCTGATGTAGACATGTTAAGTCCTTTTCTTAGACATAGCTGAGTACATACCTAAGCCCATGGTGAGGAGACATGTTACCTGACAACATTAGTTCTGCCTGTACCTGGTGCATTTCATTGGGGAGAATCTCAGAATGAGTTGCTGGTGATGGCTTTTTTTTCCATATAATAAGGCCATGCCTTCTCAACCTTCTTTTTATTCTTTGTCAAAGAATCACTGAGAATCTTATTGGTGACAGTCTGTGTGTTCTCTCTCTCCCTTGTCCTCAGGAGTGCCGGGTGTCCAGGCAGAGCGCTTCCAGGAAGGGCTGGAGGTGAGGCACTGTGCACTGTCCCTGGTAGGGGAGCCCATCATGTACCCTGAAATCAATGCATTCCTGGAGCTGCTCCACCAGTGTAAAATCTCTAGCTTCCTTGTCACGAACGCACAGTTCCCCAAGGAAATCAGGTGGGTCATCCAGCTGTCATATTGGATCTGTTGAAGTGGTGTGCTTGCATGGACCCTGAAATGATTTACTTACTTAGTGCATACAGTACCTTTGCTGCATTTTGAGAGGTAGATGTGGGCCTACTCCCTACCTCACTGTATTAGAAAGGAGAACATTGGTAAGAAGAATAGAAATGAAAACAAATTGCTAGGGGAAGTCAAAGGTGAATGCAAAGAGTGGGTAGTGCTGAATACCAGGAGGCTGAGCCAGGAGGATTGCAAGTTCGAGACCAGCCTGGGCTACAGGGTGAGCTTCCAGAGGAGAGATGTATGAAACCACAGGGAAGCCCTTACCCTGTCTGATCTTATGGTATGGCTGGTGTCAGTACTTTGGGAGAGGAAGGAACATTTTAATAAGAAACTTTGTAAGAGAGATGTGGAGTTAGGGTTTTTGTGACAGTTGTCCTATTAATGTAGTTGGTGTGGCCCAGCAAGGGTGAGAAGGAGACTGGCAGTTGGAATTCAAGTTGGAAAGGAAGACCTTGCTCTCATGTGCACATACCATGTTGCCCGTGGTGCAGAATGGGAGAGAAGTGGCAGAACTTGGGGAGGAAGTTGTATCTTTTCAGGCATGGAAGGTTGGAACCAGGTGGTGAGGTTGAGGCTCTTTAAAAGCTGCTGTGGAGGCTGAGGTTGTCTGTGAGACACACAGTATCAGGTGATGTTGACATGGAGAAGACAGAGCCCAGTTTTTCAAATCTAGAATAGAAGAAAATGCTCCCTGAGTTCAAACTCTGGTACTCTTTCTGTCTCTCTGTCTCTCTCTCCCCTTCTCTCTCTCTCTCTCTCTCTTTCTCTCTTACACACACACACACACACACACACACACATTGCATTCATGGGGGTCTTGGAGCTAATCCCCCATGGACATCGAGGGCCAACTGTACAGTTGAAAAAAACCCCCCAAAAATAAGCATAGTGAGACCTTCCCTCTCAACTGGTCTGTGTCCTAAAACTCCCGAGTTTTGTATCTGGACCTTAAAGAGAAACAAAATCCTCAGGATGCCTTTGCTTTTCAACAAATGTTCTCATGATTGGGGCCTCTCTGAGGTTAGGGCTCCCTCCTTCTCCCCACTGGGGCCAGAGGGATAAAGGCTTGTACAGATCAGCCCCTGTGCTTTCTGCTGTGCTGGTCTCAGAACAAGGCTGGATGAGCTCCACCTAGGCTTGTGGAGGTTGGGTGTTGGCCTCATGTTGGAGCACCAGTGCTGTCAGCAGGTCAGCTCCTTCAGTTCACCTGAAGGGCAGCTCTCACCACCACTGTCTTACCAGCTTAGTAAACTTGGTCATGGGCTCTGAGCAGCTTCCTGAGTTTTACATGAAGGAAAAATGTGTTTGCTACAATTCTGCCCATAGTCTTTTGAGGAGAATCTTGGCCTTTCCCATTGGTTCTCCCTTGACATACTGGCAAGGGTTTCCCTGGGCCTGGTGGCCTTTTCTGGTACGTGGCTTTTGCTAAGCGGCTTCAGTGCCTTTCAGGCCAAGCCAATATTTGGTCCACAGAGGCTTTGAGTAGTGTGGCATGAAGTATGTACACTTGTGAAAAGAATCTAGTCAGAAGACTTAGGTTTGGGCTTTCTTTTGGGCTTGCAGTCACAATCTGCATTTCTTGAATCACCTTGTTCTGAGTTTCCCTTCTTAGGACACTGTGCTAGGCAGTGGCTGTGGGCTTTATTGATGTTGTGTGTGTGGGTTAGGAGAAGGGCTGTGGAGCCTGGGGGAGGCCTGGATTTCATCACTGGTGATGGCTGTTGTCTGTGGACCATTGCACAAGCGACTCGGCTTCTTCAGAACCTTGGTTGTTCGTCTCCATGACAGGCAGAGGCAGCAGTTGTTATACTGTCATACTGAAAGGATTGGTGACCTGCTGAGGGTGGAGCAGGCTGCAAAGTGTGCCAGCGTGCCGTGTATAGATATACCGGTGTCCTCTCTGTGCCCCCCACCCCGTGTCCCCCTCCACTCCATGTCCCCATCCGCCCTTATTATCCCCTTCCCCCCCACATCCCCTTCCACCTCTGCCCCTATCCCCCTCTACCCTTGTCCCCCATCTCCCCCTTCTCATTCCCTCCCCTCGCGCCCTCCACCCCCATGTCTCCATCAGCTGCTAGTCCTAAGTTATTTGGTCTGATGTGACAGCCCTTTATTGCCTTAGAGATCTGAATTTTAATAACATTGGATGTTTGGGCTGTTCTGGTTATTTTTTTGTCTTAAGAACTGAATCAGACTACTTGGATTTCTTGCAAGCATAAATCTCTCTCTACTTCATTTTTCCCTTTTGTAGATGTGTTAGATATCATTCTGCCTTTCAAGGTACTTTTTTTGGGGGGGTGGTAGGGGAAGACACGATACACTGAGGCTTAATAATCTCTACAGAAAGAGCAAAAGGAAGAGGCATTTCTTTATTTTTTGCTGACAGTTTTTATTTTAGACTGGATGGCCTAGTAGCAGTAGGCTAAGACTTTTCCATCTACTGAAAGAGGGGAACAAAACCTCATTGTATCTAACCCTAACTTTGAAGGGTATAGACACCATGCTTTTGCTACCCCTCCCAACCACCCTCCTAACCTAAGGAGGGATTTCTATGTACATTTTGAGGATACCGTTCTACATGATCATTCTTTGGCAGTTCTGGGCCTTGCACTTGCTAGGCTAGCATGATACTGCTGAGCCAGGTCTCTAGTCTAGCTGCTCATTCTTAGCTCAAATTTGAAATCAGCAGACAGGTTATCACAGTAACACGGAGTCATTGGACATTGTTACTGGGCACTGGGTTTTTCATTTCCCAGATACTGTCCTTTTCACTTATTCTCAGCAGGGACATAGGAATTATCATGGTGCCATTAATGACAGCACATTCTCTTGCTCTTTGAAAACAGAAATGCATCTCAGTTCAGAAATGATGCATCTCTGTTTAGACTGATAGGTATGCTACTGGGGCCTCAGTACCTGTCCTGGGTGAGCAGAGGCCAGTTCTAGGCAAAAGTAAGAGCCCTGAGCATTAGAAGATCTCTGCGTCCCTTAGTGGCTGCTGAACCCCTTAGAGACCAGCTCAACTCCCCTAAGATCCTTTCTTCTTCCTTTTCTCTTTTCCTGCTTCTCTCAGATCCTAACATGGCTCTTTTCTGTGTCCATACAACAGACATTTACAGAGTTAGTGTGACCTTTGGAGTTTACTCCTCTCCTTTGAGCATTAGCTTTATACCAAAATGTAGGTTTCAGGTGATGGTGGCCCACAGTGACTGTCCAGACAATCTGTATTAGGTGATTACTGTCGGTCATGAAAGAGATGCTGACCAAAAAAAGGGTGATGAGAGGCAGGTGCTGCTTTCCTGTCCCAGATGCCTTATGTGCATTCTGTGTGGCCCATGCACTGGGCTCAGCAGTCCTGAACCATTTCCTGTTAAGATTTCCTTGTATCAGTATTGCAGAGGGGGCAGCACTGAGCTCGGCCTCTATGGACCACTTCCTGTTAATCCACTACTGTGGAGGGGGTGGCACTGGGCTCTGCCGCCATGGACCACTTCCTGTTAAGGCCCCCTTATCCAGTACTGTGGAGGGGGTGGCACTGGGCTCTGCCGCCATGGACCACTTCCTATTAAGGTCCCCTTATCCAGTAGTGCAGAGGGGGCAGAGAAATGGGAGCTGTCAGATTTCTCTGTCCTTTTCTGACTTTGGTCAGAGCTTAATGAATGGGTACAGTTTATTGGGGATGGCATTTAAGCATTGAAATTTAACAACTTTAGTAACTACTGGTGACATCCGGGGGTTTTCTGTTTGTCAAGGAGCTAGATTATGGCAGATGTTTGTTTGGCCTCTGTTCCCCTAATATTTCCATCCATCAGTTAACAGTATCCACTAAAGATGTTGAAGTACTGCCTGTCTGAGGATAAAACCCTGGCCTGCCCCATTTTAAATGGCTGTAGTGTGAGTCTGTGTTTATATTCATGGAAGTGTCAGTCTAGGGGTGAATGTGGGGCAGATTGTGAAGTAGTTATAGGAACTAATGTGAAAATTTGGTTAGAGGCTTTTTCTTAGTACTCTTGCTTGGCTTTCTCCTGGGTTTTGAACTCAAGCTCTATACCTTACACTTTCACTCAGCTTTTTTGCTTAATGTTGGTGCTCTACCACTTGAATCATGTCTCTAATCTAGTCTTTTTGCTGTCTAATTGAAGTTGAAGTGTTGCAAACTTTTCTGCCTGGCCTAGTCTCAAACCATGATCCTTAGATGTTAGCCTCCTTTGTAGCTAGGGTTCTAGGCATGAGCCCTGGCTTTAGAGGGGTCTTTTTTTTTTTTGCCAGTCCTGGGGGGTTGAACTCAGGGGGCACTGTCCCTGAGCTCCTTTTGCTCAAGGCTAGCACTCTATACAACTTGAGCCACAATGCCACTTCTGGCTTTTTCTGAGGAATTAAACCCATGGCTTCACACATACTAGCTAAGCACTCTACCACTAATTCACATTTCTATCCCTAGAGGGGTCTTTTCTGTTCTCTTCTAGTTAGTTGTAGACTCACTGAACAGAGTATAACTAGGATACCTACTTTAAAAGCAGAGGCTTTAGCAGTGAGCCAGCTAGAGTCAAATATAACATGTAGAAAATGTGATAGGTAGAAATGAAGCTATAAAATGAGTCCATGATTTTGGAGTTAGACTTCATTTTGTTTATTTACCATTGGAAACATCCCTTACGTTGGAACAGGGATTAGTTTTAACTAATGAACATGTGTAGTTTATTAGAGATGACATTCAGTCATTGAAAAAGCAGACAAGGATGTTGCATGTTGTCACATTGTTGTATGGGGAAGTAGAGGCCTGTAGACTGACTATAACATCTGGTCACCACTGTTTGTTACAGACTGCAGATTTTCTATCACACAGAGCCTGATCTAGGCATAATTTCCCTTTTTCTTTTTTAATTACCAAGAAACCTGAAGCCAGTCACGCAGCTCTATGTCAGCGTGGATGCTAGCACCAAAGACAGCCTGAGAAAAATTGACCGCCCACTCTTCAAGGATTTCTGGCAGAGGTTCCTTGACAGCTTGAAAGCCTTAGCTGCCAAGGTAAGAATTACGACGTGGCAAAGAGAAGGAAACCAAGGAGGAAAAAAAACAACAGACAAGTATTTTTTTTTTCCTGCTCTTTTCTCTTTAAAATAGAGTGAACAAAATCTTCATTTTAAGGAGTCCCTGTTTGAAGAGACTCAAGAGTGTGCTGCTCATGTCTATGATCCAGCCCTGGGGAGGTTGAGGCCGAGGGTCCCCAGGCCACCGCCAGCCTGGGTGACCAAATGAGGCTCTTAGTAAACAAAATACAGTACAGACAATCCGCAGAGATTCTCTTAGCTTCGCAGCACTGTGTCTGATATGTAGATTCTGCTCTCTATGCATACTCCCAAGGTAACTAGCAAACCTAGATGACCAGCCATGGGTCGTTTAGGTTTAAATATCAAGTTAATTATCCTGAACTTCTAGAGCCAAGTCTCTACCCCATGAGTAATGCTGCTCAGAGTGTCCCTTCCTTTTCTTTGGTCCTGAAGTAATCTCCTATCACATGAACCATCCTCCCTCCCTGCCCCTGCCCTTTTTACATTTTTAGTTATTTTTCAGGTAGGGTTTCATGTGTTTTTGCTACCTTGGATTTTGATCTTCCTCATGTGTAGCTGGGATTGCAGGCATGGGCCACCAGGCCCCCCTTGGCTCTCCTCTTTGATGAATACCACATCTCAGTAGTGGGAATGGTGGGTCCTGCAGCACAGTTCCCTGTTCTCTTTGCCCTGACTTTTCTCTGCATTTGCCCTGTGCTGCTGTTTGGGCAGTTTCTGTAGACTGTCCTCCTTTCTGGACCTTTGTGAGCAGTCCCTACCACACTGCATGGTGGGAAGGATCAGCACAAGAGCTTAAAAAATCACAGTTCCCTGTTGTTGGTGTCTTTTGTGTTAACCCTCAGGTGATACTGTCTGGGCACCAGTATGGAGGCGGTGCCCAGCACCTGGCTCCTGGTCCCCAGCATTCCCTTTATCACTATCACCCTCACTGCCTGGCCAGGGACATTTCCAGACTCACTGTTCTCAACTTGTGCACTCAGTCTCCAAGCCTTGTTTTCTCCTGGTCCTCAGCACTCAGAACAGCATGTTTCAGCTGCATCAATTAATGTTTTTCTTTAATTTTTTTGTTTTGTTTTCTTGCCAGTCCTGGGGCTTGAACTCAGGACCTGGGCACTGTCCTTAGCTTCCTTTGCTTAAGGTTAGGACTCTACCACTTGAGCTACAGTGTTACTTCTGCTTCTTCTGTTTATGTGGTACTGAGGGATCAAACCCAGGGCTTCAAGCATGTTAGGCAAGTATTCTACCACTAAGTCACATTCCCAGCCCTTAAAAAAATTTTTTTTTGAGTAGTCATACAAAGGGGTTACTTTTCAACATGTCAGTTTACAGGTACAACACATCTTGATTAACATTCCTCCTTTCATCAATCAGTGTTTTCTTCAGCTGAGACCCAGTGAGCTGGTAATGCATGGTGCCCATCTTCCTGATGGTTCAGTGCTGCCTAGCCTTTTCTTCCTTGCTCTATGCCTGAGAACATAAAACCTGCCTCTTTGATTACTGACATGGATGCTTTTAAAGAAAGGCAAAGGCACCACCTAGGTTTCTCAGCTGTGATGAATTCGGACGGTGGCCTTGTCTCCCAGCTCCCCACTTATGGCTGAGGCAGGAGACAGTATGGGAACCAGCACCAATAGATGAGCAAAAGTAGCAGTGTGGCCTGTCAGACTCCCCTGAGACTGGCTCTCCACACTGGGCTCGCCCCGTGACAGATGGCAGCTGTTAGAGACCAGCTCTATAGCTTGCTTTATTTCTTGGGTCAAGATTTTCCAGAGTTACTATTTGGATGTCCAGTCTGATTACACCTACTCTGGGTGGTCATGTACTAACTGCTGACTTTCTAACCCAAGAGCATTGTGACAGTAACTTCACTTTGACTCCTTGTAAGGGCAAGCTTTCATGTCTACACATCACGGCAGTTGTTTCCTCAGCTTCCTTCCCCCCCCCCCCCCCTGCCAGTCCTGGGGCTTTAACTCAGAGTCTGGGCCCTGCCCCTGAGCTGCTTTTGCTCAGGGTTAACACTTTACCACTTGAGCCATATTGCCACTTCTGCCTTTTTCTGTTTATATGGTACTGAGGAATTGAACCCAGGACTTCATGCATGCTAGGCAAACACTCAGTCATGAAGCCACATTCCCAGCCCTCCTAATCATTTTATAGCAACTTGAGTTGATGTTTCTCATTCTTGTATTGTTCATATTGTCATTTAAGAAAAAAGTTTGTGGTGGAGTCTGCTCTTAGAGGATTTTCTTCAATCAAGCCGTTACTCGCTTCTGAGTATGTGCTGTTATTACAGGTCATAGTAGGTTCTATCAAGAAAGGATTGCTCTACCTCTGTTTAAGGCTAGACAGTCCACATGCTGTTATTAGCTGTTGTCAATCACATTGTTACCAAGTGTGATGTCATTTGAGTTTTTACCTTAGAGTATCTTGTTGAGTGTTTGGGCCTTATGATATACTCGAGGAAGGAAAGGCATTTGAAGAAAGAGAATTTCACACACTTTATAAGGAAATTTGATTTATCCCAAGATTTCCTGTCTTTATGAGACATTTCTGTCCAGGGAAGAAGGATTTTGTGTTTTCACTCTTGGCAAGCAGAATGTTTACACTTCCAGACTTTTATCCTTTGTCAAAATATTCCCTTAATATGAGAAGAAAAGTATGATAGTACCTGAGTATGTGGGGCTAAACCACCATTCTGTCAAGGTAACAGCGAAACCCTTCCCTCTACCACACCTGCTTGTCAGACGCTGTCTCAGAGTCTTCTGCACTGGTGATTATGCCCTGGTCAAGCGTAGCACAGCTAAGTACTTAATCCTCCATGGTGGAGCAGTAACCCTGATCTTTTTGAGGCAGTGTATTTAAAGAGATAAAGTAAGCGTAGTCACCTGCCTCAGAAATGGGCAGCAGCCCTCTTCTCGCAGACATTTGGGTGAGTGGTTAACTACATGGATGAGATTACTCCCTGCCCAGTATTGAACTAAACCAGAGTGGTATGCCACCCTCAAGCATGTTAAATACTCTGGCCTTCTCATGTCAGATTATAAAGCTATTAGGTAGTGATTATGGCAGTGTGGGTAAAGTAAGGAACCTGGAGGTGGTGACTGTAGTATTTGATGCTCTTCTGTTCATTTCTCTGGGGTGAAGGGTGTATTTTTGCACACACTTGCTGTTACCTTTATTGTGTTTATAGCATCATGTCACAAGTTTTTTTCTATACTAGTATATCTATATCTATAGATAGAGCTCTATCTATAGATATCTATCTATCTGTAGACAGATATAGATATAGATAGATACATCTATAGATAGATAATAGATACAGATCTTTTTGCCAGTACTGGGGCTTGAACTCAAGGCCTAGATGCTAGATTTTTGCTGTCATTTTAGCACTTTAAGCTCCAGCTTTTTTGCTGCTTAACTGGATATAAGAGTTTCATAGACTCTCCTGCCTGGGCTGGCATAAGTTTGAGTTTGGGGTTTGTATAAGGTTGTGATCTTCATACCTGTGTAGCTCTGTCTGTTTTGCTGCAACACTGGGGTCCTGTAAGGTTTCTTTTGTCTTGATGTGTGTGTGGGGTTGGGATGGGAGAACAGACCATAAGTGGGACATTCATAGACACCAGTTATGAAGGTAATGTGGTGAGCCAGCAAACCCCTGTCACGTGGTAATTCAGAAACATCCCAGAATTCATGTTAGATGAAACTACAGTGAATTGGTGAAAGAATCCTGTTCAGAGACACTCACAATTGACACAAAGGTGAATCACCTCATTTAGGATTCTTATTAGTGGCATCTGACTGAGTTTTCAAGTAGTGAGGGTATTAATTGAGTCAGAAGTCTTTCTTCCTCACGGAAGTCTGATATATGTGAGAGAAGAGCTCAGCATTTGACTTTAATTCTGCTGTTTGGCCGGTCGCTGGTAGCTCACGCCTGTAATCCTAGCTACTCAGGAGGCTGAGATCTGAGGATCGTGGTTCAAAGCCAGCCCAGGCAGGAAAGTCTGTGAGATGCTTATCTCCAGTAAACCACTAGAAAACGGGAAGCAGTGCTGTGGCTCAGGCGGTAGAGCACTCGCCTTGAGCTGAATTGCACAGGGACAGCACTCAAGCCCAGAGTTCAAGCCCCACAACCGACACAAAAAAAAACAAAAAACAAGCCAGGCACTGGTGGCTCACGCCTGTAATCCTAGCTACTCAGGAGGCTGAGATCTGAGGATCACGGTTCAAAGCCAGCCTGGGCAGGAGAGACTGTGCCTATCTCCAATAAACCACCAGAAAACCAGAAGTGGCGCTGTAGCTCAAGTGGTAGAGCGCTCGCCTTGAGCTGAAGAGCTGAGGGACAGTGCCCAGGCCCAGAGTTCAAGCCCCATGACCGATAAAAAAAAAAAAAAAATAACTGCTGTTTGTTTTATAGGTCACAGTTACAGGCACTCCAGCTATCACATTGGCATTCCAACCTGTGTTTTGAGTTGGCATTATAAGGATGGGTTAAGAATGGAGTAAATCCTTTTTTATTGTTGTTGTTGTTGTTGGTCGTGGGGCCTGAACTCTGGGCTTGTACGCTGTCCCTCAGCTCTTCAGCTCAAGGCTAGCACCTACCACTTGAACTATAGTACCACTTCCGGCTTTTTTCTGCTTATGTGGTGCTGAGGAATCAAACCCAGGGCCTCCTGCATGCAAGGCAAGCATTCTACCACTGAGCCAACTTCTGAGCCCTGGAGTAAGTCCTTTTATGATAATTTGTGTAAGTCTTTCTTTAACATCTAGTTCTTTTATCACACTGGGTCAGAGGGAGGCTGGATGTGCCTTTTAGCCAATGTATTGTTATGCAGGGCTCCTGCTGATCAGTGGTCAGGGAGAAGGGGGACTGGCAGATGGCTAGTCATTTACCAGCAGTGGATTTACCATTGATTCCAAAAGTTAGGTAAGAGCTGGATATGCCTGAGAAATTGGGAG